GGGAGCAAGCGTCTGACTCGTTGGATAATGGAGATTATGGATTACCATATAGAAGTCCAACATGTAAGAGGTGTAGACAATAAAGTAGTGGATTTCCTGTCTAGGAATGTAAACGGGGTTCATCACTTCGATGTAGAGTCAAAAAGGGCTGTGATCCCTAACAGATATGATATTGGATTGTCACAGGATCGCGATGAAACGTTTGGCCCCATAAAAAGGGATTTATTGAGAAACCCCGGGAATAGAAACATTGGGAACCATATGCACCAGTATGTAGTAATAAGCGAATGCTTGTATAAGAAAAAATTCTTGAGGTCCCGTGGCAAGTATGTTAGCCAATTATGCGTAGGGGAAGATCTTGCTAGGGAAGTAATTAAGGCTGTTCACGAAAATGACCTATGGGGACATTGGGGCGTGCGGAAAACTGTAGTAAACATTGAGAAACACTATTATATTCGGAATTTGAGAGAAAGGGTTGAGGAAGTCATTAAGATGTGTGAAAGGTGCCAGAGGCATAATATCCACAAAGGGAAGGTTCCGTTCCAAGAAAACGAAATGGCCAAGGCACCTTTCCAAAAAATTGCTGTTGATATAATAGGGCCTATTAGTGCATCGAGCAGCGGTAACCGGTTCATCCTTGTAATAGTAGACATTTTCACTCGTTTTGTGGAAGCACACCCCTTGAAGGACCAAACTGCATGGTCCGTGAGTGACACTATATTTAATGAAATCGTTTGTAGGTACGGTGCCCCCGAAGTAATTATTTCCGATAGAGGTACCAACTTCCTATCATCATTATTCTCTGACTGCTGTAAGTGGTTAGGAATTAGGAGGAATGTTACGACTGCTTATAGGCCCTGTGCGAATGGCACGTGCGAACGGGTGAACAAGTCGTTAGTCGAAATGATAACTAAATCATCTAACGATAGGAGGGTCGAATGGGATGAAATGATACTTTCTGCGTGTTTTGTCTACAACAATTCCTATCACGCTGCTATAAATGAGTCACCTGCATTCCTATTGTATGGCATTGATCCCCGTACTCCCAACATTGAACACCTGCCTGATGATATGTCGACCGATGAACGTAGGGCATTCCTCATCACGAAACTCCGTGCATTACGAGAGAATGCAAGTAACCATGCGCGAATTTACAACAAAAAAGGAAGGGATTATCGAAGCAAGGGGAGAAAATTAATAAGTTTCTCGGAGGGGCAGAGAGTTTGGGTTAGAAAGAAGGGCATTAAAAGGAATAAGTTCTCTTATAATTATAAAGGACCCTTTCGGATCACCAAGGTAATAAACCCAACTACGTATAGTGTGGAGGGTTGCAATTTGAAGGACCAGGAAACTGTTCATGTCGATCGCCTAAAGCCTTGCTATGGTGATCCGATTGGTAATAAGAAAGAAAAACGGGAGGTTAAGGATATTGTACCGGAGGATGAGGATGAGGATGAAGCCCTGGATGATCGGGTAGTAAGGCAACGTGGGGTTGTCCCTAACACACAGGGTGTTGGCAAAACTGGTGTGCAGAATTGCACTGACCTTGACGTGCGTAAGAAACCGTATAACTTACGTCAACGGAAGATTGATTTTCGTAGTATGCACTACGGAAAGTAAGTCGCTTGTGGGGGGGAGATATGTAGCGCTACGCGACTATGTATTGTTATTATATGTATGTATATATATATTTTTGTCGGGTTCCTTTGTGTTTTGTATCGGGTTTTTTGTCATTTATGCGATGTCACGTGTGTGTGTGTTATGATGTCACCGATTGGGTGGAGCTTTCCGATATGTAACGCTACGCGACTATTGGTTGTTAATATGTGTATGTGTATAAATCTTATTTTTTTGTCGGGTTCCTTTTGTTTTGTATCGGGTTTTTGCCATTTATACGATGTCACGTGTGCGTGTATTATGATGTCACCGCATGGGAGGAGCTTTCCGATTGGTCCAAGGTGGGACACGTGGTAATGCGGACTTCCGGAGAGCGGGATATATAAAACGTGTGAACTCCCGTTATAGGATTATTCTGGTCTCTGTACCCGTTGAGGAGAGTGGTCGTTATACTGGTAAAAATAAACCTTTTCTTTGTTTCCGTGCATGTGTTGGTCATTTACTGTGTCCTTTGTTTTATTGCCCCATGGATTCCTATCTACGGCATACTCTACACAGCATTATAAGTAATATTTAAGTAAAAAATATTGGAAATGAATTAATATAGAAGACTAACAGAAGAAGAACCAATAGCAAATTAATAATTTGACTTAATTCCAGAAAAATCAATTGTTGATGCAATATTTAGTCTTTGACAGATCATAGAAAGATAGCAAGAATTGTGTATGGTTTTATATACATATACAAACATCTCAAAACCCAATACATTAGTAATAAGCCAAATAACTACTGGATTAAATCAGGCTACTTTTCTGCAATTATTTTAAATTAATTTCTAAATAATTTGTCACCAGAGGGAGGTGTCACCTCTTATTAAATTTAATAATTATAATGTAGAGGACGTGGTTGCTGTATCACCAAATGCAGTGTGTAGCGTCTTTGTAATCCAAAAAGATAAGCCAACCCGAAATGCATCTGAATTAGAAATTTTTAAATAAAACGTAACGTTTTCTAACCAATTGCTGTTCGTTCGTCTACCAATTATCTTTTTGGATTACAAAGACGCTACACACTGCAATTAATAATTATAATTTAATTTAATTATTTAGAAATGAATTAAAAATAATCGTGGAAAGTGGCCCAATTTAATCCAATAGTCATTTGGCTTATTGTGTCTGGATTTCTTCAACTTATAAAAAAGCCAAGGATAGAATGCAGAGTAGAGAAGTCTCAGAGAAAACTTAGTACTGTAGAAATATGTCAGATTGATAGAAGAATATATATAGCCATAAAGGCAAAAGTCAAGAATTGTCACAGAGTTGAAAATTTTAAGTACGGATTGGGCTTCAGGGAAGAATTCAGCATTGAGCCTTTTTCTATTCAACATAGTGATGGACATGCCAACAGATCAAGTAAGAGAGGAAAGGCCCTAGAGCATATTATGTATGCTGTGTGTAGAGTCAAAAGAAAGGGCCAAGTTAAAGTTTCCTAAATAGAATAATACATTATGTGAGAAAGATTTCAATGTTAATAAAACCAAAACAGGATGTATTTTCTGCAATGTAAAAAGTTGTAATTGATTTGGCTTTGAATGAAGAAGTTATTAATCATTTTAAATACCTCAGCTCAATTGTAGAGGAAAAAGGAAAATTGGAAAAAGTTACTGGCTAAATCCAAGCCACTTTGAAAAAACTGGGAAGGATGTTAGAGAGTTCTGTATGACAAGAGGATACCAGTAAAACTGAAATGTAAAGCATACAAAACAATGATGTAACCAGCTAACTTGTGTAAATTTTACCCTTCAAAAGAACTAATATCAACATGATAAAAAACTCGGAAATAAAAATGTTACATTGATGAATGGAATGGACCAAATTAGAAATGAGCATGTAAAAAGGGCAGTAACAATGACAGACTTGGCCAGGATGCAAAATCAAGACAGTTTGTCTCTATTATGATAAAAATAAAAACTACATGAGAAGAAATGTTATGGCAGAGAAAATTATTGTTAAAACAGAGAAGAGAAAGCCCTAGGGCAATGCAATGAGATTTTTAAAAGGGTGAAGTTTATGAAAAATAATTTTTTAAATATACAGTCAAACCCTGTTTATATGTTTTTCAAGGAAACTGAGAAAAAGACACAAGTTCTTTTGAATTGCTTTCAGAGTGAATACAGTTATCACAAAAGTGCACATGGCATGGCACAAATTAATACAGTCAAACTTCAGGTTCTGTGGGATCTGCAAGTGTCTGAAACTTGCAGGAGAGTGACAGAAAACGATTTACCATGAGTACAATCACACCAAGAGATGCTAAAAACTAATTTTATATACACAATTATTATATACAGTATATTCACAAAATTCACAAGTGTTTATCACATGACAGCTCACAATGATTAGGCAGATGAAGAACAAGGGGAATGGTCCACTGAATACCAAAAATATTCACACTTCAGGAATGCGAAGCAGAGACAAATTCTATCCACAGTGACAAAGGTTGTCTCTCACCAACAGTTTCTTCAATGTTAATGATGGATTAAAAAAAAAAAAAAAAAAACAGTTAGACTTACACCTCTTCTCGACACAGAGAAAGCAGATGAACTCTTCGATGAACCTCACTCTAGGGCAAAACACACCTCCCTTCCAGTCTCTGGACAGAATGCCAATCCCACACCGAACACCCCTTTTATACATTGCCATCGGTGCAGGGCTGCCATACAAAAACCGCCCAAAGTCACGCAAAATATAACAAAAGAAGAATGTAGACATTGTGGATAAAAGTACAAATAATAATTTATATCACGTACTTAGTCGACCGACAAACAAAATTTAAAAAGGATAAATAACAATATATGCAATTAAAAATATATACAATTTTTTTTTAACGTAACCCAACAATAAATCTTTCAACACAGTTTCGAACACCTTGCTTTTTGAACAATTCAGTTTACAAATGCCATATTTGCCCCGGTTGCCATATGATAACTCGCTTGCCAAATGAACTACTTGGCAAGAGCTGGACACAAATTAGAAAGACATTGACAGTCAACTCCATATATTTTTGAGTTAAAAAAAGTTGACAACCCAACCAATCAATGACGGGACTACCGATTCAGAAGTTAGTGGTGCCAAGATTGCCTAATGTCATTAGATGTCACAACATAAAACATTACAACATTAGATGTTGTTATTCAAATTAGATTTCAGTGGGTAAGATACTACTACCATTTTTTTGTGCACATCTTAATTGAATTTCAATAAAATTAATTANATCTTGAAACATGTGTTCTCCAAAATATACCTATATTTATTTGTAAAATATATTATTAATAAATAGCATTAAAAATTCAAAAATATTTTTAATAAAATTAAAAATTTTACTTTTGTTAAGGTACTTAATAATCTTTTGTCAAGATCATCAGTTACTCTTCCACCGTACTGAACTTCTCCAATCATATAATGTACCGTTATCCAAGAAACACCCTTTTTTTGAAAAAATAAGATGTTAGCAATTTTTTCTTTATAAAAAAGTTTTTAAACATTAATAGTACTTTTTTTGGATCCATGTCATCTAGATGATTTTGTATAAACTGAACACTTGCTGACCAGTCCAATGAATTGAATTCATAAGGAATATTCCATCCTAATGGGCCAAATTTTCTTCGTTCCTGTAAATTTGAAAATTTATAAATGTGTACGATCTTTTTTTCCATCAGCATGCAAAATATATTCATATCTTAGCTATAAAATAATTTATTAGTTAAGCATTAAGCATAAGTCAAGTTTTGATAATATTTTATCAAAACTTGACTTATTTTACTTAAAATATTGAATTTAATAATTAATAAAATGAAAGATTTTTAAATATTTTCCAAACCTGAACAACTCCATGGAGAAAAGAAACTCCATATAACATTGACTGCCATTGAGGATATGAAATTATTTCTAGCATGTGATCACTCATTAAGGAATAAGTGCGTTTAAGATTAGCTTTCAATCCTTGAGGTGGTTCATTTGTATATCTGATAGACATCTGTAATAAAGAAATTGGAAATCTTTGATGACCTTCGGTTGTAATCCAAATTCTAAAACTGTTGTTTATAGTTTGGGTTGAAATTAATATTTCTAAAACTTCGTCCATGAATTCGAGTCCCAAATGGCAGTTTTGTAATAATGACCATCCTCCCTGAAATAAAAATTTATTGACTTAGAATAAAATGATATTCTACCATTTTAACGATTAATTTTCATTAATTTTTATATAGCTATATTTAATATTCAAGTTTCTGTAATGTAATTTTAATACTCTAGAAATATTTTTTGTAACATTGGTCATTAGACTATTATTTCAACTGTCATTTGATGATTTACAGATTAGTGACATGTCACCATCCTAACATAGAGATAGACTAAACAGACTAGTTTGAAGGACTATTCATGTAGAAAATGAAAGCAGATGCAAGGAAGATAGTAAATCAGCTAAAGGAATGATGTGAAAAATCAATATACAGTAGAGCATCGATTATCCGACCCCCGATTAACCGTCACATCGGTTAACCGACCGTTCTAGTCGACAAATTTCAAATGTCCGCTAGTGATGTGGCGCTACAATATTTGGCTATGTCTTGGCTACTTTAATATTATTTTTGTTAAATTTTTGCGTATTTTAGCTGGCATCAACGGCTCGACCATTGAAGGGAGGCCAGTATTTAAACGAGACTTAATTTTCAAATTATGAGTGGTTGTTTGTTTTGTGAGCAATAAAATAATTTTAAAATAATTTTTAACGATACAATAGCGACAATTATTATTTTAAGAAAATTTGTTAGGCTAAACATCGATGAAAATTCAACACAAAGTTGGTTAATAGCGATATACTAATATACTAATTACATGGGCTATCCTATTATACTATACTAATAATGTATTTTTTTCATTATTTTCAGTTATCCGACCAACCTGAGTTCCCAATTGAGTCAGATAATTGATGCTCTATTGTATTGTAAACAGAAGACAATGACAAAAATAAGGAATGGCAGGGGCATTGGACAAGATAGGATCCCTGTCAAGGCTTAGAAGGCACTCAAGAGACGGCACTGGCCTATAATGGAATAAATTAAGAAAAAATGTAAATATGAAGAAGTAACAAATAAAGGTGAGAAAGCATGACTATTTATTAAGGAAAAGAGAATGCACAAGAGTGTAGAAATTACAGATGTATAAAGTTGATATATCATACAGTAAAATATTGAATCACTACAACGTTCCTTATTTATCCAGCAGTCAATTTAATAAAAGAATGAATGTTTTCAGTCACTTTTAGTGGTCTGTTCAGATTATGTAAGCCATTCAAATAACAAAAAAGTTTTTATATTTTCTAAAATGGAATTACAAAAGCTTTTTCATTATTTGAATGGTTTATTAACCCAAATAGGCCCTAAAAATGACCAAAAACATGTGTTCTTTTATTAAATTTACTGGAAAAGTATATTTATAAAAAGAAAAGTAAGAAAGGTGCATGGTGACTCATTGTATGTTGTTCCAGCTGTAGCGCTACGCGACTATGTATTGTTATTATATGTATGTATATATATATTTTTGTCGGGTTCCTTTGTGTTTTGTATCGGGTTTTTTGTCATTTATGCGATGTCACGTGTGTGTGTTATGATGTCACCGATTGGGTGGAGCTTTCCGATATGTAACGCTACGCGACTATTGGTTGTTAATATGTGTATGTGTATAAATATTATTTTTTTGTCGGGTTCCTTTTGTTTTGTATCGAGTTTTTGCCATTTATACGATGTCACGTGTGCGTGTATTATGATGTCACCGCATGGGAGGAGCTTTCCGATTGGTCCAAGGTGGGACACGTGGTAAAGCGGACTTCCGGAGAGCGGGAGATATAAAACGTGTGAACTCCCGTTATAGGATTATTCTGGTCTCTGTACCCGTTGAGGAGAGTGGTCGTTATACTGGTAAAAATAAACCTTTTCTTTGTTTCCGTGCACGTGTTGGTCATTTACTGTGTCCTTTGTTTTATTGCCCCGTGGATTCCTATCTACGGCATACTCTACATTGGCGTCCGCGACAGGATTTTTGTGATCGAGTGTTTGTTGTGAAAGGACCGGCCAACCGTGCATTCTTTTGTTGGAAAGTTTCGATAAAACTATGGATGAACAGATTATTAGTGGATCTTCAGGGACAGGAGCAGGAGAATTTGGCAATGTGCCCATTGTAACGGGATTTATGGGTATGATCCCATGTTTTTCGAATCTGCCAGGAGACACCTTAGATGTGAGTCGATTTTTCGAAACCGTCGAGGACACAGCGTTATTGGCAAGTTGGGACGAGAAAGTGAAGGTCAACGTGGTTCGTGCTTGCCTAAAAGGAGAGCCTTTGTCTGTGTTTTTCGACTTGCGGGACCAGGGCGTCAGAAGCTATGATGAAATCAGGAGAGGACTTATAAAATGCTTTGGTCGTAAGGAAAAGGAACAAAGCCCCTTTGATCAAGTATTAAAGATATCCCAGAGAAGAGGTGAGAAAGTTTATGAATATGGGATTAGGGTTAAATCATTGTTTTTGCGAGCGGTGACGCGCAACCCTAACTTAGCGACAATTCGCGACAATGCCGTCAAGGAGTGTCTTGTGAAAGGGCTATTAGCGGAGATTCGGAGGCAGGTAATGCAGAGCCGGCCAGACACTTTGGATGAGGCGATAGCAAGGGCCGAAGAGGAAGAGGAAACTGAATCAGCCTGCAATAAGCGAAACAGGATAAGTGAGGTATGCGCAAATGTTGAGCATGAAAGGGGTTTGGAGGGAAAGGAAGGACAAATAGGTAACCGTGTAGCGGAATTGGAGACTCAAGTAAAGAGTTTAACTGAGTCTATGGCATCTTTGCTTGAATATGTGAAGGAAAGTAAGGGCCGCGAGAAGTGGGGAGAAGAGCGCCGTTGCTACTCATGCGGTGAGAGGGGACATATTGCGAGGAGAGGCAACAAAAGAAGGGATTTAAACTAGTCACAGGTCATTTGAAAGGTCAGGCGAATGACCCGTTAGTTAAATTAGAACTGACCAGTAAGATACCGAGGGTTACCGATTGTAAAAGGAGTAATAATAGGTCGTGAAATTGCTGGCCTAGTAGATACGGGCGCCGAAAGGACCGTTATTAATAATGAATTGACTGAATACCTCAAGCAAGAAAATAAGAATTGGGTGGTCCCGAATGATTCATGTATTAGTGGGATGTCAGGAGCACTCATAAAAAGTGACGAGGCCGTAGAAATCGAGTGCTGTTTCCATGATGGGAATAAGGTATGCACGAAAACACCTAGTGTTGGTTTTCCTGAAGGGGCAAGTTATGATATGATCATCGGGATGGACATTATTTGCCAGCACCCTGGGTTGTTGGTGGGGATCGGATCGGTAGTTAAGGCAGATAAACCGAGTTGCGAAGGGGGATTTTGTATTAATATAAATAGTGAGGCAAGTGTAGAAAGAGAAGTGTGGAAGTTGGATCACCTGGACGACCCGGTTAAGGGGAAGATAATAGATATTTTGAGCAAATATCCTGACGCTGTCGCTAGCGAAATTGCCGAGTTATCTGGCACTAGCAGATATATGCACTCTGTCAGCCTGACGTCGGAACGACCTGTTAATGTGAGACAGTACCGAATTCGATACAGTTACTTACCTGGCCTTAAGAAGCAAGTTATTGAGCTGGTCAAAGCAGGTATATTTGAAGAGAGCTCATCGGAGTGGAACTCTCCTATACATGTTG